GGCTGGTGCGCATTGCCTCTCATGCAGATGCAACCAACGATCAGGCTTGAGGGACGACAAGCTGCCGTTTCCCGGCGCCATTATTCTGTTTGTCGTCTTTATATATATGGTTATGACGACCGAGTTTCGACCGCACTGAAGTTATTATGCCGCACCGATGTACAGTGGAGGCCGTGAAGGCAGTGACGGCCTGGCTTGCGTGGGGTTTCGGTGGTGGATGGGTCTGGCAGAGTCACCTAAGTAAGGGCGTCCGCTTAAACGCAGTCGAATGGGGCGGAACATGGCGCAAAAGTACGGCAACTCGCTCTGGTATGGCCGAGAGGGATTTACCGGTATTTGACTCTTCTTGTCGTCGACCAGCCTGCCCATCGGCGCGAGCACAATGTGCGAGTCGGCACGAGCGATAATAAAGAGGCTGTAGGCCACTGCGAAAACAATGAAGACATAACTTTGGTGATTGTCCATATCTGTGTGCAATATGCGTTACCCACAGGTCGATCTGTCGGTCACACCATGATGATGGAGCTAAACGGGTGAGTTGGTTGTGGTCAATCACTGTTGAGACCTTACACTGTGGCCTACTATGGCATCGAAACGCATCAGTAGGGGATAGGCTCAAAGTGACACGCCACCTCACACCCCTGGCAGACGCGTCGCTCCTGACGTGGTCTTGACACGCTCCACTTTCCATGTCCTGTGCAGCGCAAAACATATATTGGATGCGCTAGGCTACGATATACTACGTAGAACTGCACAGCAAGACTGGCGAAGCGATACTTGAAAACCCCGCGACTTTATTGGTGCTGTCCGCTGGCAATGAGAGAATCGGCCGACCACCGTTGCCAGGTCTGGTTGCTGTCCATGCAAGATACGAGGTCGACCAATGTGTTCTGCGTTACTTCGAGAGAGTTGAAGCGTCGTATCCGGCCGTAGCATTCATCAACGAAGTCATCTAGGGATGGTCAACAATATATTAGTGGATCCGAGTCCATGGTCGGTACCACCTCTGACGGACACATAGGGTTGTTGAGCAGTTCATTCGAGTCCGTATTCGTCTTCGCAACGCCGCTCGGTCCGTACGATTCTTTCGCCACGAGTGTCAGGCCACTAAATAGAGAGTCTGACAGAGGCGTATCTCTTTGGCGGGGGCCGTGATCGCCGAGACCCCCGAGTCCCGGCCGTGAGACAGGCATCGCGAAGTCTGGTATCCAAAGGATAAAAGAGAGACTTCAAAGGCACAAGACGTGCGAGCGGATTGAGAACCATGATGAACGTGGCTGTTTAAGAACGGGCCAATGAAGGGAAAGAACTTGGGGTGTTGTCGGATTTCTGGAGCGGGCTTGACTACTTGTACTAACAGCAGCTCACGTGCACAGGAGTTGATTGCTGATGTACGGCGTTGAACGTGGAAAAGGAGGCATACCAATACCAGGCAGCCTTCGAAAAAGCCTAGTCCAAGCATTCAAATTACGTAGCAGAGTCACCGTGCAGTTGGTGCGTATTGCGCTATGCCGCAATGGCGTAGCTTGGTGCCAGTGAACACTATGTCACACGATGAAAGGGGTTCATGCAGGCTTACTTATTCAACCGACTAACATAACAGTGCCTCTTCACATCTCCGACGTTCCAGCCCACCTATCAATCCTGCGGCCAGGCAACCATCTGAGCTGCTGCTTCTGACGAGCTACACGTCATACCCCGAGACGCTAGTTTCGCCGCACAAAGCGTTCGACGAGGTTGTCAGCCATCTTTTTCGCCTTCTCACCCTGGAGATCCTTCCGGCCCACCCAAGTCGTGTCCCAATCCACCTCAAACTCGAAGCCCCCGTCACGACGGCGCCGCACGGAGAGCAGCCGCCGAAATGGAAACGCAAGGCGCGTATCTGCCTTGGCATATGCATTTTCACCACGGCCATGCCGCTCTTTAGCATGAGCAATTTGAGTCTTCCTGCCGCGCGTATGGCCCCTCTCCCTAGACTTCTGCTGTTGCCACTGTCGAGCTGACATCATGAGGAAATCCCCGTCGTCGGTGCGCTCACCGATACTACTCTCTAGACAATGTGAGTACTCTTGAAGACGAAGTAATTGAGAGATGGAAATACCTTTGGCCAGCGATGTTCGGTCGGCGGTAGGCTGGGTTGTGCGGTGTGGCGGACTTTCTTCATCAACGCGGCTCTGGATGGACGTGGCAGTACCGCCTGCGCTTGCCGCAGCCTCGGAGTCAGATCGCATCTCCCCCGGATAGCAAGCGTCTCGAATCTTGACCGAGTGGTCCACATTGGAATCCGAGGCACGATCCATCGCCGTATCGTGCGGTTGAGAAGCCACTGCAGAAGGATACTTGAGAAACTTCCAGGGGTGTCCGGGCGGAGGAGATGCATAGTGACGGGTCATCGAAGCTGTTGGATCCATGATGTGTTACAGATCGGCTAGATTATGAGCAGAGGAAGGAACAATACCAGAATATCTAGGGAGACCCTGGGGAGGTTTGGCCTCTTTATAGGCGCTTGTCTTTCCGAGTTGTTGGCCCAAGAGAGCACCCTGGAAGCTCTAACCCCCCGCAAGCACAACATGTGCAGTGCAGACTTCCATCACGCAAGGCAACGCTTGCACCATACACGAATCTGTTGGCGATGATTGGGTTCGTCCACTTCAGCTCGTGTAAACGCCATGAGTCGCCAAGCACGCATCCAACAGGAGTAGAGTGTTGGACGCCACTCATGTCTTTGACTAAGCTGCGAGACGTCATCTGCGAGCCCTCGTCCGGGAATCATATGACACCACTCATGTTCGGCACTGTTTCCCGCTGTAGATCGGCTGATGCCATCAAGCCTTCAGCCCCTCCCAGGCCCTTGCAGAAGAATTTGCGATGTGGCAGTAGTGTCGACATCGGCGGCGCAGTCGTTGGCAAAATATAAGCCGTAGGGGCTAACGAGGACGGTCTCGTGGACATGGCTCCAACGCTCCGATGCGGCCTCGAAGTTGCACTTCGTTTCTTCAGCTGGACGTAGGATGGATGTGTTCAGCCTTGCGAAGCCCTGCGGATGCGAATTCCTCTTGGTAGGCAAGTCAGAGCCTATCAGGTGGATCAGAAAGGAGAACGCATTCTATCCTATCAGCGGCCGCTGCAGCAGTGGTCTGGTAAAGGTGGTAGACATGAAGCCTGCAATGTGGTCCGCAGGTGCGCTGAATTGGGTCTCTAGCCCCATCGTCAGTAACACTGACAAGACGACAGACGAGGCGATGATCATCTCTGACAGAGTTTGGGACCTGTCGGACACAGTCTAACACATGTTGTACCTTTGTACTACTCAAGCTACGGCACCCAGAACTAGTCCTGCAAGACCCATCGACTCATAACTTCGTGCATTCTGCGCAAACCAACAACAGCATGATTTGCAGTGGGCCGTTCAGCTTCAACACGGAGGACAGGTGGAACGACATAGGCAGTCAGTCCAATCGGAAGGGTTCGGTGCATGTTCGGCTTGGGCGTCCATTGCGTGGAAGAATCGCAAAGAGTACCCCGCCATTGTAATTGTTGTGACAGGTAGGTGAGGACCTCAGAAGCTGCCTAGTTTTCACGGGACTTGCAATAGGGGTGAAGCGTCAGGCTTCAGGGCGGCAAGATGGAGTCAGGGTGGCGATCAACTCAACGTCAATCACGAGGTTGTCAACCAGATTGACGTCAATCAACTCAACCCAACTCAACGGAGCTTGTTCTTACTAATCAACCAACTCAATATCATCATAATATTGAGTTGAGTTGCGTTGATGAGTTGATTGGAACTGACTGAACCCGATTTCCCAGGGCCTGGTGCCGGGTAGCTGCGGGCCTGGATCGCGGAGTCGGTGCATGGTAGTGGGTACTTTGATAGCACCAAAATCTGCTGTTAGTGAATGTACTGTAGAACATGCCTTAACGTGTCATTGCCATCACGCGTCAACGCGTCGCGACGTGCTCGTCGCTCACTCTGCTGCGAATGTCTGCCCGACCTGGCCTCTCCTTCATGGCACGCTTCTACAGCGCTTACTTGCCTATGATCAACACGTCCCAACGTTCAGATCTTGGAACAATGTCTTTCCCTATAGCTTCTCCGTTATCGCTGGCTCCACCGTCACCAGCTCCATCAACACCAGAGCCGTCAACACCAGCCGAAGCCCGTGCCAGCCGCCGAGACGAAGACCGACTCTTCCGACACTTCCGCGGCTACACGTGGTCCCAACGAAGCAAGAATACAAAATCTTGGGTATGGGAGTACGGCTTCGATATCGAGAAGGATTCAGAGCGGCGATGGGTTTGCAGATTGTGCATCCAAAAGAACGCGCCGAAGCCCGGCAACGTCATTGCCTTTGGGACTCAAAATGCTGAACGGCATCTCTGGGATCACCACAAGATTCAAGACCCGTCCGGAAGACGCTCTGCGCCATCGTCTCGAAAAAAGCCGTCGAAGGGATACCAGACGATAACAAAAGCCTTTAACCTCGATTTAGCCACCCCCCGAGACCAAGCAATCGCGAATCGCTTTATCAAGAGCTTCGATAAGAATGTCTTCCAGCGTCTGGTCGTCGAATGGGTTGTCGAGAGCAACCTGTCCTTTCGAGAACCCGAGAACAGGAGGCTGCGAGCCATTTTCGAGTACCTCAGCCCATTTGTTGCAAGCACCGACGCCCACATCGGCCACGATACCGTTCGCAAGCGCGCGATTGCCGAGTTTGAGAAACACAAGGGGAAGGTAATCGACGTATTGAGAAGTGCACCTGGCATGATACACATATCGTTCGACGGTTGGAGGTCGCGGAATAAGCACTCGTTGTATGGTGTTGCATGCTTTTTTCGGGACGGGGATGACAATGCCCGCAAGCTTATCCTTGGGGCCCCTGAACTGACAGTTCGCCACTTTGGGGCCAATATCGGATACGAGGTCATCGAAGTACTGGAGACGTACGAGATCCCAGACGAGAAAGTCGGGTACTTTACGTTGGACAACGCGCCAAACAACGACACCGCAATGGACACCATCGGGGAGAGATTTAAGTTCTTCAGCAAGGAAAGGCGGGGTCGCTGCTTTGGCCACGTCATCAACCTCGTGGTCAAAGCCATCCTCTTCGGAAAGGATGCCGAAGCGTTTGAAGGCCGGCTGGGCCATGGGGACGTCTCAGCTACGCTAGAGCACGAGCTCTGGCGGAAGAGAGGTCCTGTCGGCAAGCTCCACAACCTCGTGGTGGCGATTCACAGGTCCGATGTACTTACCACACTTCTCCGCAGTATCCAACGACTAGAGTTCGATGCATCCGAGGATCATCGTGTCAGAAGTCGAAAGCCGCTCAACGTGGTCGTGGATAACGAGACCCGTTGGCTGTCGCAGTTCTATATGATCCGGCGGGCCCTGAAGCTTCGACCTTACCTCGAGACACTTGTCCTGAAGCACAAGCAAGAATGGGAGAAAGAAAACACGTCGAAACGGCCCAAACGGCTCAAGGCAAGCGCCATAATGCCAGCTATATGTCGAGACGAGAATAAGCTTGACGACAAGGACTGGACTGTCCTTGAAGCGTTCAAGAAAATCCTCCAGAGCTTTGAAGACGCGGTCAAGGCCCTCGAAGGTGACGGGATTCAACGAAAGCGCAAGCAGGCGCATTTCGAGACCTATGGTAACGTCTGGGATGTGATTGTGGGATACGAGTTCTTACTGGCAGAACTGGAGAAAGCTAAGGCCATGGTCGACCAGTATCCTGAACCCGAGCATTTCAGGGTTAATATCAATCTTGGCTGGAAGAAGCTTGACGAATACTACAACAAGCTGGATGAGACTCCGATATATTACACCTCACTGGCACTGCATCCTGCATATCGATGGGGCTACTTTGAGACGGTGTGGTCTGGTCGGCCGAAGTGGGTTTCCAAGGCGAAAGAGGTGGTACAGTCCGTTTGGGATAGGGACTACAAGGCGTTGAACATCTCTAGGTGCGGGTCTGGCGAACCAGCTGCAAAACGACAACGAACACAGTACTATTCCCCTTTCGAACAATTTAAGGATGAAGCTCGGGTACGTCCTTGCCAAGGGCTCGATCCCGACCAGGCGGAAGACGAGTATGTCAGGTGGCAGAAGGACCTGTTACCTACAGATAGCGACGTTCGGGATCCTCGTGAGTATTGGCATTCACAGCGGTTCAAATACCCGAGGCTTTCGCAAATGGCTATGGACTTCATGACAGTTCAGGCGAAGAGCGCAGAGTGTGAGAGGCTATTCTCCGCGGCAGGTCGCATGGTTACACCTCTACGGAATCAGTTGGAGGCAAGCACGATTTCTATTGCCAGGTGCTGCGATCATGGCTGCAAGCAGGCATCGTGGATGAGGTTGACCCCATCCTGCTGGACAAGGCGGATGAAACGGTGGCCGAGGTAGTGGAGGAGAAAGAAGTAGGAGAGTGGCTTAAGGGATTGCGAATGCAGATGCGGGAGAAAGAGGCAGGGTGGGAGTGAGCCCTGCCTTGCATGCCCTGATTCCAAGGTGTCGAAGCTATGGTCTGCTTACAGGTACATCGGCCGACGGGTTGGTCAACCAGTCAACGCAACCTCAACCAAACTCAACACAGGGGCGAGGTTGATCAACTCAACGGAGGAAAAGCTTATTAAGCCGTCAACTCACTCAATCGAAGGCTGAGGTTGAATTGATTGCGTTGATCGCCACCCTGGATGGAGTTGACTGACGTTGCTTCGTACCTGACCGACTCGCTGAGGCGCCTCCCGCTGGAAGGCGGCGGAACACAGCCACTGGGACAAAAGACGGGCAAGGTCCTGCCAATCATATCGTCGTATTTTTCGCATACTTGGCAACACAGGGACACATGATTGGCTGATACCTTCTGGAGTGACGGTAGGCCCCCGCAACGATGCGCCGCACACTCAGGCCCCGAGGAACGGCCAACCGCGACCGCATCGTGGGCGGCTTGCATACAGATCTATCACTCAGTGAGTGTCTAAGGCGCTGGACGGTGACTTGTGGACAGATCGTATGATTCCAATGCAGTGTACCCACAAACCATAACGGCACGACCGATGAGACCCTACCGCTTATTGCCTTTCCATGGCCAATTGCACATTACTTCTGGTCGCGGCTGCACGGCGCACCTGTGTGGTTCCTCGTGATGTTGTCACATCGAAGCCACGTCGTTGTTGCAGGCAGATAATTTTGTTCATTATCGGGCCCAACTCATGATTATGGAGACCACCTTTTGTCTTGGCAATCGATGTAGACATGCACAACACGGGACGGAGGGGCTCAACAACGTCTAGCAGGGACCGCAGTCTTGCTACGCATGTATGTCCAAAAAGACCGGTCACAGAGGTTCCGGAGCACACATACCCTTTTTGCCGAGACACCGGGTCTAAAGCATGTCGCGGCGACTCAGGCGCATTCTCGTTGACCTGTATGGTTGGGTTAACTGTGCCAGCCCAGACACGACGTCGAACATGTGCTTAGCAAGGGCAAGGAATCCCAATCCCTTGCCTGCACTTGGCATTTGACTGTAAAGGAGCCGCAGCATTCTCTGCGTTCAACCTGTTCATGGCGCGAAAGCAACAGGAATGACGCATAGCGGGAGCACTAACGAAACACGCGGCCACACAGAGAGTGACGGGAGGTATTGGATTAGGCCTCTTGTGCTGCCACTCGATCTGTTCATGTGCGCAGGATACTAAATCGCCGACGGCGTCGGGGAAAGACACTGGCGCGTCGCCCACTTGTACTAAGCACTGGCTTGCTGTCAGCTGTTCACAACGCTGGATGGTCCAATATAGCCAATACAAGGAGCCTACACAGCCAGGCTGGGGCACATCCTGCAGAAAGCCATGCTGCGAGATTGGCCTAATAATGGCGTGACCCAGATGTATGATCGACACTTGTTTGGCGAATATAATCGCCTGTTCTGCCACGTCATAGGCAAATTACACATGGTGTACAAGGGGGTGGGATCGCATCACACGTGGTGCAGCTCCTTGTTTTCCAAGCCAACTGAGCCATAGGTGATAGTACGCTCTCTCACCTCAAGAGTGAAATCAGCACCAAAGCCGGTTCTCCCAGTGCACTGTAGCACATAGTATTCATGTTCGTCAGTTTGGGGGCCGGCTCAGGCCATATAAATATATCTAGCTACATCGTCGTTCCTCATGATGCAAGACGATTCGACACCAACCACTGCTCGACTAAGCACCACATTGAACATGGACTCACCAGTCTGTACAGGCGCCAGCGGGGTGGATCTACAACGCCCCAAGGCGGCATATCGTTGTCAGCAATGTGTGAGTTTGCTCTTTCCCGCATGTCCTATGTCCGGATCTAACGGCGGTGATGAAGAGAAACGACCACGTCAAGTGCGACGGCGAGGACCCGTGCGGGCGTTGCAAGCACAAGGGTTGTCAGTGTACACCTCGAACAATGACATCGAGCGCCTGTCCGGCGTTCGAGATGAGACCTCAACGTTACAAGACTCCCGCACACGACGGTTCTCCAAGTCTCGAGAATGATATACCGTCGGCTATGACTCAGGAAGGCCTCAGAATTAATATTTTTGATGGCCGATTCTCCTTCCCTTCCCGTAGCCAAGCGGCGAAGCTGCAAGACTGGCTGACGAGCTTCGAAATCAATGTCTTACCCTACCATCCGGTCCTGACGCCAACAACATTCAAGAATCTGATTCCACAGATCATGGCTCAGGTGCATGGCGCCACCACAGCAGAGCCCGGCGGGCGATTGGAGGCTTGCATCATCCTGAGACTGGGCGCCGCGGCATATGAACCGTTTTGTCAGTATCCAGATTGGACCTCTGAGCTCCTGACAGACGCTTCGATGTTGTCTTTGAACACTGTTGCCGACCTTCGTTTGTATATGCTTGCCATTCTCCTGATCATCTACTGCGCCACCTCTGGGGATGGATCGCATTACCGTTACATGAGCACTGCCGTCCGAGGTTTGCAGCACATGATGTGAGCGCCTTATGGAAGACAAAACTATATGCGACAAAACTAAAGCAATGTCACAGGGAAAACAATATCCTGGATCTGACGGACCCTGATAACCATGTTCTAGCTTGGGGTTTTGTACTACTTTACTTGTCCGCGCCCGCTCTTCTGTGGTATCAAGTTGGCTTCGTTCGCTGACAACCCCTCAGTGAAATAATGCCCAGGTCGCTGCTCGTCGGCATACGGCCAATTATGCAGCATCTACCACCGGCGCTGCCACCGGACGGGCATTTGCACCCGCCAGCTCGACGAATGGCTGAAATCCTTGTAGAAATTTGTCGTGCAAGCCCCGTGTCAGAGAATACATACACGCAGATGTTGACCGATCTGAACCGACTCACCGATTCTGTAGGGCCTATGGATGTGGAAGCGACCCCACGTTTCAAAGCTCAACTATACGCGTTGAAAGTCTTCGTTGCCCAGGCTTCCAAGCAAGCATTCAGTTGCACTTGGTCGAATAATGGTCCGCTAGCGAATGCCAGCCTCTACGAACTTGGCGCATTACGAAGCTTTTTACAGACCGTGCGCAACGTCGGCGATCATGATAGACGGTTGTTTCTGGAACGGTGAGATATCCAAGTGGGCTGCGACAGCAAACGCTGATGGCTGGCTCATGTAGGGAGTACGAGTATGTCATGCAGGCGGCCTATGCGCATGCTCACCGAGTGATCGATTTTGAGGCTTGGACAGATTATTCTGCTGGCCTGAGGCAGTTCCTGAGGGAAAAACCCATGCCTGACGCGAAGTTTGAAGGGGTATTGAGGCTTCACTCTCGCTTCGCTAGGGTGCGAAACGAGGTGTCAAGTGGCCAAGAAGTGACGTTTCTGGGTTCTTCCTCCTGCATAAAATTCATTAACTGATGGGCTTCGTCGAGTGGAAGGGTCGATGCCGTACCGAATACATTGCACTTCACAATCTGGTTGCTCTGACCATTCTGTGATGAACTCTAACAGCGAGTTAGATGCGCAGTGACCATTCCAACATATCGATCGATTCTGTACGAGGCTATCGGTAGGTTCGCTACCGCAGCAACATCTTCGAGATGACTCAGGTCCATGTGTGTTACACCCGCAATTAAGAGTGATAGAGTTCGCCGCCGGGACATGATAAAACACAAGCTTCCTCCTGTCCAAGATATAATAAACCCAGTGTATAGCAAGTGAGCAACAGATGCGAGGCTTAGTCTCTTGGGATATTCCTACTGGGCGTAATAAAATGTAAGCGTGGCGAACATGTTATTCTACTGTAGGCCCGTCGAAAGCAGTCAAGGAGTGACGGTTTGTTTGTTCAATATCCCTAATATGATAGCTCGCCTTGAGCATCCTTTCCAGCTGGCAATGGCAGATACCTACAAAGCTACCGTTTTATTTGTCGACATCGCCATCGAGACCTTGATCTACATCAGTATTGAATGGTAAACCACCCGGCGCGTGGCTTCGGCGCGTCTCAAGTTCGAGGGTCTACTTCGGCATCTTTTCCCACTCACCCGGAGTACTGTCTGCGCGTCATATCGGCACCGTTGAAATCTCAGCAAGTCAGCGTTGCCCTTGTATTCCACATGTGCCAGTGCCCTGCGCGACATCGAGTGCTGCTGCAAGCCAGAGTACGGAATGGTTGCATTTAACTACATGCGTAACATATGAAAGCCCAACCGTCCTCGACATCTTTGGCTGCGACACGCTCGACCGTATCAATATGAGTTGTGTGCCTATTGCCGATACGCGCACAGTCATTTCCAGGCCCACACCTTACTTCTGTTCCAGAAGCTGTTCCGAGGGGCAAGCCTCCAACGCACTGCGGTACGCATCTTGCACCTCTATCCACTCTTTGTCCTCGACCTGAAGAAGCCGAAATCCAGTCCCTCCAGCAGTGTCCCTGCAGAGAAGCAGATTGTCCTGGGGCTTCCGGCCGCCGTACGAAAAATCCCCGAAAATAACAACCCACACGGACGTTATGCCTTTTGGCCCGAACACCCACTCGGCGAGCTGGCGAAAGTGTGTACGCAGAACGCGCCCACTGCCACTCAAAAAGGAGCTCTCTGCTCGGGACCCTGACCGTGAGGGGGTCAAAGCCCAGGATGGGTAGCTTCTCAGGTCCGACGTTGACTGGCGGATGTGGAGAACCTTCAGCGTGTTCTTGTATCTGAAAGGGAGCAAAGCATATTTCTATCGCAATGGGTTGGTCAGTGAGTTAACGATTTTGGGAATTTGAGACTTACGAGACGTTCCGGGGCGTACCCGATGCCAACATACTCGAGCTCGAGCTGCGCAAAGGGGCTCTGGCAAGGGTCGTCGCGCATGTCGCGCGCGCCTCGTCCGAATATGGCGGGATCCCATATTACATGCGCCCCCTCAAAGTAAGGGGCCATCATCTCCGTGTTGATTGCGCTTTGCTGTTGGACGAGTCTCTTGAGAGTTGATTGGTGGCAAGCAATGCAGTCCCATAGCGCAAGGGAGTCCACTGGGCCAGCTTGGCTCACGAAGAGTTCCTCAAGGCCTCGAAAAGCGCCCAGAAATTCGACGAGAGTGTTCTGCGTCCACAGAGGCGATACAGTCTCTGAGTGGAGTTCAAAGGTCGTCAACTGGATGCGACACTTAAGTCGCGCTGCACGTGCCAGGAATGTGTCCCATCCAGGACAATTTCGCAGCGTCAGCGATACAAGACTTTCAAAGCTGATCATCTTCGCCAGTGATGCTGTTACTGGCACTTGGGAGAGGACTAGTGTGCGGATGTCCGGTAAGACAAGGGGCGATAATCGACGGTCCGGCCCGAGAAGTCCTTGGACAAGAAAATTTTGCGCGGCAGTATCCTCGTGATCACCGGCATTATCGCTAGCCAGAAAATCCCATGTGTCTTCCCAGTTGACGAAGTCCAACTCCAGCGTCTGCAAATGTACAGAATTGGCCCGGATGGCGACAAACAGAGCGTCAAGGTGGATAGGGTTTGGGGCCTTCCAAGTCAGACTCCGAAGTTGGCGGAAGGAGGATAAGTCTATGCTGCACCTCCTGTGGAGACATGGAGTGCATGAGTAGTCTGTCATCAGACTCAAGGATCGGATCTGGGACTGTGTGCGCGGAACAATCCCAGTGGCGCCGAGAATATCTGGTGGGATGCAAGTTCCTAGCGTCCAGCTGCACGCCTTTTTGTAAGAACGACGTATATCAGTCTGGGGATCGAATTCGTAGCCACCTGAAATGCTGCAATTGGTCGTCCTCCAGACGGCTTAGCCACGACAGTGACTTGTGCGTGATCTGATCGAAAGGTGTTTGACGGTAGATGCGGTCATGTTCGGACTTGGCTTCGAGCTCCTCGTCGGAGGCTAATGGATCGGCGTACTGTTTGTTATGAAGGCAACGACGCGCTGTAGCATACAGCACGTCGGCGTGGAAGTGGAGTTGCTTCGCGAGCCGAAGGCAAGATTGCGGCAAGCCCGCCAGGGGCAATTTATCCAAGTCATCCTCGCTCGGTGGCTTGATCGTGACCGACTGCCACAACCACTTGGTGGCAATCGCGTGATGGTGTCTTGAAACTTCGGAGAGTGCTATAGCGTCTACTTTTCGCAGCTAAGTGACTTGTCAGCACTCGTCTTGGACGAAATGCGATGCAGTGGCAGACATGGCGAACGACGAGTTCCAAAACTTCTGGCGGTAACCTGTCCAGCATGTCGGGTGGCAATGATTTTCTGAAACTTCGCTGATCGATGGAGCGACACGATTTATGGGATTTTTGGTCAAAGTTCTGCTGTATCGCAGAAGTCGCGGCGCCTTGGAGCGGGAGAATTGACGAGCAGCAAACGCCGGCCGTAGACGCGTGGTTGCCCTCAATAACTCACTATATTCGGATGCTTCGTTGCATGCGTAGAGTGGAGTGCAGTGTAGGTTCTGCGACGAGACCAAGTGGCAGTATGGACCGGGCATGGAGGGTCCGGGGCGTCGGTCCTAGAGCCTTCCGCGGCCGTTTCTACAACATTCTTCCGCGAAGCAGTTTCGGCTCCTCCACGCACTGCAGCGTCTTCAACGACAGAGGACGGACCGTCAAGCTGCGGGTCGACTCTCCCGCCGACTCCAGGACCTCACCCAGAACGAGCCATTTTTGGGGGAAAGGAGGGGGTTTTAGGGTTTGAGGGAAGGGTTGGAAGGGGGTTAAGGGGGGTTGTTTTGGGGGTTGGGGGGTTGTTGTTTGTTGTTTTGGGCAATGAACCGGATGGTGGGCTGACTGGCAGGGGTGTCTGCACCCATGTGCACACCCTTGTCTTGCCCCTTGCCCTGGGCATGGTGCCACAAGTCGCGCGCGATTCAGAAGCGGCTGCAATCCTTCCTTGCCGCTTCCGCCGTTCCCCTGCCCCTCCTCTTTCCCAACCCGTTCCGGGGCGGAAGGGGAAGCCAGCATGAGTGCATCGCCCTCAAGGTCCCCTACAGTACCATCACCGCAACCTGAGTTGGAGACCGACTTTACGTTGGACACTACGCCAGAGAGTTCACGCAATGGGGCCTTCCACGATTCTGGGTTGCGGTGTTCATGGCAGATCTCGTTGACACTACGACAAAGGCACTTTGAGAGGTACTGCACTTGTTACCGCCCATGTGCGCGTCGTAAGGGCGTGTGCTCTGTGCGGCTGACGTTTCGTCCGTTGCGAGCCGCCTTCATTCGGTGTCCCCAGTCCTCCAGTAGTTTCGCCAGAACCTGAACGTGGGGATCCCCATCACAAAGTTGCGGATGCAGGACAAGCAAGAGAGCATCACGAAAGGGCTCGTGATGTGGGTATGAGCTAGAAAAGACGGCGAGCATGTAGCCAGAATTGAAGCTCTGCCACGCCGTTTAGTACAATCTACAGTCACCCGCACATCATACAAAAATGGCACTTCCTGCAGTCCTGTGCCGACGCTGTTCATCTTGCTCTGAAGTAAACCGCACAGCAGCACCATGGCTGGTCGACAGTATAGCGTTCCGCCGTGGTTGCAGACAGGCAGTGGGAGGTTTTCGGGTTTCACGCGAAGTCTGACCAGCCGGCCTCCACTCCCACCGCTTGACACCCATACCACGCCGATGCCCTCAGTAGTAACATCAGAGACCAACAACTTACTGGACTGGGCGGAAGATATGAAGAACTTCCGTATTCTTCGCGACAAGAGACCGCGGGTTTTCTTCCAGCAGTGTTGGATCAAAGAGTTTCCGGCCTTGAACACACGATTTGTCAGGAGAAAATTCCTGCATGATGAATACCCCCAGGGCGGTCTACCTTATCTCGAAATGCTGCAGGAGACTTTAAAAAACTATGGCACTGCATCTCTATCACTTACAATGTATGACTCCTTAGAAACCTGTCGAACGGAAGGCTTAAGGTGGCTTCAAGACAATAAGCCTGATGTGCGGCGGGACGTGATGCAGAATATGGCAACGCTTTCAAAAAGGCGAAACACAGACGACCCTGAGGGGGAGTTCCCGGCCGTGGCTACACCGGAGTTTCTAGCAAGCATCGACTCCGACGATCAACTGTGTCACTATTGCAAGGCGAGCTTTGACGAAGGTACGACTATGTATCGTAACTATTGCTCTTGTCATTTCACTTGCTCAAGCTGCCTGAGTAAATATCCAACCCAAGCAGGGACTTGTAACAGCTGCAGCCCGTTTGCAGAGTACAATAGCTACGGTCGTTATGAATCTTTTGAAGATGTCTGTTATGGTAGAGTCAGTAATTGAGATGGTGACTCTGCAATGTTGAGTTCAAGAGTTGTATCCAGAAAGCGTTTCACGACGTGCTTCGTACAATGTTCAAACTCTTGGATAGTGGCACTGCATTTACCAGTAGGGCGCGGTGTGGGATCGTAAAAGTGCGCGCCAGGCGAATACCGGAAGAGGAGCAGCACTTTTGGACGCCTCCGGTTTCCCCATGCCCTTCGGCCTCGATCTGGCCACCGATGGCTGGTTCCAGAGATAATAGTCCCAAATTCGCTGCACCAACACCCAACTTCTTCATTATAAGTCTACCCGTACAGTATAGTCAGATTCACTGCTGCTTCCTCGGGTACAATCTGTGCCGGCAAGCTAACGCTGCAAGGATGCATGCCGTATTCTCACTCACTGGGTTGGTGCATGTACTGCTCTGCTTATGCGGTATGTCAAGTGTTGCAAGAGCGAGCAGTCCGATTCATTACAGCTTGGGGAGCCAAAGCAATGGTGCCGCCATTATTACACTCCATTAGTCAATCAATCAAAGACTTTGGAAGAAATCTGCGATCAGACCGCAGCAAGATATTACATATTGCTGCGTGTGGGAGAAGACAAGACGCAACTTCCAGCTATGTCTAGGAATATAACCAGCTGCCAAGAGATGGGCAAGAAGGTCCTGCTAGAGATTTTTGCAACAGGACAACCGTCAGACGAGGAAGCGACGCAAGCAGCGCAGGGGATGTGGTCTGCATTTGGACCCCCCGGTACACTCAGCTACTCTCAGCGGCCGTATGGTAATGCGACAATTGATGGCTTTCACATCGGACGGCTACCCATCAAGGATCCCTTTGACCCCCCGGTGAGCTATTACCGCAGTCTTCGCAAGTTAATGCAGAAAGATACCTCGAAAAGCTATTCAATAACGCAGTTGTGGTATTGCGATAAGCCGGTATCCGACGACGTTTTGAGTGAGGTGGACAAGGTTTTTGTGAGAGTGCCTCACGTTGGATCAGAAACGTCTTACGAATGCCTACGGAAACTATCGTCCAAGTTAGGCAGCGGCAAGAGACTTTATGTCAATATGAGTTGGGTGCCTAGTACTTCTATTACCAGGGTCGTGTGCGGACTCAGATCGTTGTCTTTACCGAATTTCGGTGGTGCCTGGTTTAGGTGGGGGGCCGGAAATACATCTCTGCCCGCATTCCAGGATCGAGTTCGACGTATCGGATCGGAACTAGCTAGAGCATAGCGAATGGTAATGCTCTTAGTTTCGCGAGCATGGACTGCCACAAATCATGGGGTTGGCAGCGCCATTCAAGAACGTAGAGAACCAAGCATGACGCCATCTGCTTCATTGGCAGACATCCGCTAAACTAGGCAAGTCGAAGCATGATATTCAGCTACTGCTATCGCTGTGCGAATGGAATGTTGTAGCGATTCGCGTGCCAGTACTGTAGTGTACAACAATGGGGAACGTTAAGAAATATTGAACTTTGAACTTTGAACTTTGATTGCAGCATTGGATGGCCCCTGTCCGCCCATTGTACTGTATTGTATCCGTCTTAAAGTCCAAGCACAGCATGTGCAGTAATGCGATGCTACAGTAGATCCCTGTATTCCTGCCGCGACGTTTGGTAACACAAAAGGAAGCGACCTTCGTGATCTTTTGCAGCCAATGCTCATTGCCCCATGATAGCATCTCTCAGACTCTGAGGCCAAGCGCGGGTCCTTGCGCTGCTCTTATCCTTTAACCCAGCATTGCGCAACATGGCAGGGGGAACGAAACACGATAATTTCGTCATGCATCAGCCCAATGTTGAACTCGTAGCAGATCGTATTGTCTCGCATCTCGCCACCATGTTGGCTACATCGAACGCTTTGAATGCTGTGTTGGCTTGTCCGCGGCCATACGAAGCATTGATGGTTGGTGGGGGAATGCGATTTTAAATAGACTGCGGAGGGTTTCGGTGCGTATGTTTATCTCTCATTAGAGTCACTTCCGTGTACATGACAAACTCCGTCACCAAAGTACGTAGCTGTCAAGTCTTTTTGGGAGACGAAGTGTCCAACGTCTGACAAACTACCCGAGTTCAAGTTTGCATGTAGCATGCTTCTATACAGTAGTAGACTCGACTTTCAACTGGATCGAGATGCGCGTTGCTCAGTACCGCACAGCTTTGAAAGGGAAGATCGGCTCAGCTTCAGTCACTCTCCCAGAAAGTCACACAAGCCATTCTACTTATTGTAGTCTACCCAGGGTCCGCATTTTGCCCGTCACCACTGCTAAAGTTATCCACTTTTGGAGGATACATTGCAGGTCGTCCAATGGTGCCGAATAATGGCGTAGTCTAATGTAAAGGTTGATTCGCC